TGGCTTTGGACTGTTAAATGCAGACTGCTTATACAAACACTTTTATTTAACATCATGAGTTGGAAGATAACTGAGAAAATGCTTTTCGAGGTGTAATATTGCTTTGCTTTAGGACTTAGAGAACTCATATACTTGTGATAAAAGAAATATCTTTTAGTTGACATATACGTATATGTATTTCCAGTGGACCTCTTGGACTTACACTCAACGAACGAAGCTTTTAAACAGCACAAATTGATTCAGAATGATCAGCTCCTTTGCGTTCAGGATATCATCGGATGCCTCAGTACGATTTACAGTGGAATGGAAGACAAGCATGAAGATCTTGTAAACATTCCACTCTGCGTAGATATGTGTCTCAACTGGCTGCTCAATGTTTATGATAGGTAAGTGTGAGATATTCAGGAAAATCTTGTAAGTGTAGCAGTTTCCTTTTACGGTTATATGTGCGAAAGATGAAACGAATCCACATATTTGTAATGCTTTTTTTTTAATGCCAATAAAAACTCAAATGTGTTTACTAACTTCTGCTTGATAGATGCCCTTGATTACTATTTTCAGAAGGCTAAATACCTCAAATGAAAGCAGATCTAAAGATTGTTAGGTGCCTAGTTTTATGGGAGGAAGGGACCATTGAGATTTGAACGCAATTACAGAATTCAACAGGTCCTTGATATTTTGCTTCATGTGGAACCTTGCCTAGCCTTTTCATAACTGACCGTTATTTTCCACTTTATACAGTATGTGTTCAAGCCAAAGCCAACTCTTTTCCTGTAAAATCCCCCAACAGTAAAATGATTGTTCATAACTTTATCTTAACGTTTTCACAAATGGGCTTGGTTTGTTTCTAATTCATCACTTAACATGCTCATGGTTTATATCATTGATGTACACCATTTTTAAATAATTACCCACCTACAGGTGCCATCTGCTTCTCTCATGCTCTTCATCTGGAATTTAATTAGCATCTGTAAGACATGCTCACTGATGTTTATGGTCTTTGTAAGACATTAAGTGAAAACAATTGACAGCAACACCTATTGTCTTTTGTATTTCTGTCACATTAAGAATTATTTATTTCTCACATTAAGTCAGTAGAGAGAACAAAAGTGAAATTTAATATCACTGAATATTATTTTTCAAAGATTCATATATTTTAGAATCCATTAATATTTGCTCTGTAAAAATGCTCCAGCTTTAAACATAAGCCTATAAACATTTGCATTGCAAATGTGGTTTAAGTATGTAACACTGAAAACACAGTAATGTACTGGAACGAAAGACTAGCGTGAGAAATTAGAATGTTTACTGCTGGTTTTCTTGTGGAAGAATTTCCAGCAGTGCCAGACGTGAAGGACTTTCTGAATGAGGTGAATTGTTTCATAGAGAGTTTAAAAACTGGTTGCCTGTAAATGGTATAAATGAATGACCTTGGGAGACAAAATGAACTGCAAACTAGGCAACCATCACACAAAAGGTATATATGTTGTTCTTGCCTGAACTACTTTGAAGGGCTGAGAATGCCTGAAAGAGCATAGATAGAGGCTGTGGCAGGATTCAGGTTTTTTTTACTACTGATTCGGTGGGTGTGGCTTGGTGGGCATAGCAGGAGAAGGATACTGTAAAATCTCCATTCCCTCCCCACCCCACTAACCTGCTTTCCAGCTGTTCTCCTGTGCAGGGTAACAAAAGAAGACCCAGCTGATCAGCTGGGACTCGGGAGGCAGAGAATAGATGGGGGCAGGCCAGTCGGAGGTGGTATTTGCCAGTTCTTTGAACTATTCAAAATCTCCCCTCCCTGTTCTCCGGAACTGGTCAGAACCTGCTGAATACCACCTCTGTATAGAGGACATTAGCAACCTATTTTACAAATGTGTCTCCATTTCAAGGACAATCTTTAAATAACTTCAGAAACAGATTATTTTATTAAAAAATATTTCTTGCATTGACTGTGAGTTTGTACAAGGTTCATATGATAAGCACAGTTAGAAAATCCAAGCTGACACACAAAACATGGCACTTTCCATAGATCATTGAGCAGTGAAAGTTTGGTCTGGAATTCATGTGAATTTGTCAGTAGCAAGTTAGAGGTTTAGTTAGCCAGACACCATCAGATCTAGACAAAGGATTGTAGGAGGTTCAACAAGATGAAGAGTCAATGCATGCAGTTGAGATGTCACAGAAAGACATATATGTGTATCATCTTTCTCAATTTAGCTGGCATTGATCAGAGCTCATTGCAGAACTAGACTACTTAAGATTAATACTTAAGTAGAACATTAATACTGAAGAAGTTGTTTCTTCTCTCTTCCTACTGGCTCTTAATAAATATTGCCATAAACAATGGATTGAGCTTTCAGATTGTATCTTTGTACTGAATCTTGTTATCTCAATGGCTATCAACATTCTTATATAGAAGCTCAGTAATGAAAAAAGAGAAAACACACAACAGAAGCTTTGTCAATACCCAGAAATGGGTAGATCTGGGTCAATACTTGAAGATATTAGCTCAGAGAAATCCCAAGGCAACCCACGGTCATAGTAACCAGGCTGAAGCACACAATCACAGTCAAAAACAATTATAAGCAGCTCAGGATTAGCTGACAGCTGCTGGCAAAGACAGCTGAAAGACTGAAAGACATCCAGACTCGGGCTTAAATATTGTAATATTGAGTTGAGTATTTCCTTTGAGTCCAGGTATTGGAGTCTTTAAACAAATGTAATTCTGCAAAATGTCTGTCTCAGTTTTCTTTCACCTGTGCTTGTCTGCCATTTCTATGGCCCAGTTTCAAATGGCTCATGGCCTGGTAGTAATCCAGGGCCTGGGGGTTGAGCATTCCTAAAGTGATCTAGTGTTTTTGGCAGTATTTTTAGAAGTGGCTTGTTATTTAGCCTTCTTCCTATGGCTAAAAGGCAATAACTGCCCCAAGGAAGGCAAAACTAGAACTTCCAGTCTTTTGGTTTATAGCCTTATGCCTTAACTAGAAAGATCCAAGGACTTGTCAAGGTCATTGTCAAGAGTCAAGACTGACTCAAAGGCAAAAAAAAAAAAGTGGGGGAGGGTAGAGAGAAGAGACTGGAGAACTGTCCAGAAAAAAAAGACAATGCCTAGCAAGTCTTTCTGATTAACTTTCTCATTTGCAGAAGCACTGCTTGACCCATTTAAAGCCACACCTGGATGCTCTTCTTTCACTGGATTTGTTGCCAATGATGGTTTTGTAAATACCAGACTGCATAAGATTGAAGTCATACTGCTAGATGAAATCAGTACTGTGCATTTTCTAATTGGCATATATATACACCCAACATTTTTGCTCTAATGTACATACATATCAAAGTTTTTAAAGCTCAGGCTAGTCAAAACATGCTCTGAGAAATATTAATGTACCTGTTGATACTATAATTTGCATTCACTTGTCATTATTTCCTGCAATGCAGGGTGTCACATTACTAGGACATGCTGTGATGCTGTATGCTTCAACTACAACGCGTTATAATTAATGTGTTTAAGCTGAATGTAAATATTTAGAGTTTGCACTGAACATTTGTGAAAGAGACTCATTGATATGATTAGTAGCTAATGTCTAGAAATTGAAGTACACCAGGTGTTTTTCAGTGTTTGAATTAAATTATACCACCTCCTGCCAACTATTTTAATGCTGTTTCTATAACAGTGCCCGGACTGGAAAAGTCAGAGTGCAATCCCTGAAGATTGGCTTGATATCTCTTTCTAAGGGTCTCTTGGAAGAAAAATACAGATGTGAGTATGCTTTAAATATAATTCTGGAAAATCCATAATTTTGCCAAGGTTTGGCAAGAGATGAAGTAGAGTTGTTTGGAACAAGTGCATTTCTCTCTCCTTTCTGTCTGTCTATCCAACCCATAGTCATGCTTGTGTGCACACACATACACACTTGTCACAGAATATTACTAAACTGATAAATTTACATCTCCTTTTGATTCTATATTTGAAGTAAGGCAATATTCCAACTTCAGTTTCAATGAAGTCCACATTCCAATAAAATGTTCCATCAAAATGTAGAATCATTAGTAATTAATTAATTAAATTTATTGGCCACCTATCTTGACCATGGGGTAGCTCCAAGTGGCTTACACTACATTCTTCAGAATTTCTTTCACAGATAGTCTATATTCTGCCTCAGAAACCAGTGTGCACCAATACCAGACATTCTGGTAATGTTAAACAAAACTGATCAGAGAGCAGTTTCATTTAGTATCATATGTATTTGCAGCAATTCCTCTGTATAGTATAGAACTACCCAGTGGGATAGTAGCTAATACCCAGTGAGGCAGTTTGGTTCAATCAGTATAAATGGATGTTTTGTAACAAAACATAACTTCTATGGCAGCCATTTTATAAATAGGTAAGTCTCCTATGGGAAGCATTTTTAATGCCCCATCATGCCTTCACATAATTCTAAATATATAGTCAGCTCAAAAGGTCTAGCTCTAGTGTAGACTTTCTATATTTCCCCCTTCTGCACGCACACAGATACCTATTAGCTATTTCTATTACTTCTCTCACTGGTTGATTATCCAGGAATACACTGCTATATGAGAAGAATGAATACAACTGCCTGCTGTTCTGCAGCACATGATAAGATTGACTTTTTTCTTCTTATAGAATTAAGAAAAATACAGTTTGGGCAAAATTTCTAATTTTATATATAAGTCATCTGTTAACAAATTTCATGAATTAAAAAAAAATGCCTTTTGAGTAAACATTTGAGCACCAAAAAAATCAAAGGAAATTAAGTTACCAGAAAACAGAGGGGGATTTCTATTTTTTAGAATATTTATAAACTGCCATTTCTCTTTACCTAACCAACTGGTCCTATAAAGTAAAGCAAATAAAACGATTGAATTAGTAATGACCCATCTCATCGCAATGGATTATATGTTCTGTTTTACAAAGGAGATTTGATGTTTACTGTTCATAGTAGCATTGGCCTTTTATATTGTATTAAGCTAAATTTCTATTGTAATACAATTAGTAAATAATAGATGCTAACAGTGGGCATTCTGTGTAATTCAGATTTGCAGAATAAAATAAAATGACATAACATCGTTTTTGTTTCTTTGCTAGCAAATGATCCTTTGTGCCATATTTGTTTAATAAGAAAGGAGTTCTTTTAAGCCCTGTTTTGATGTCCCAGTCCTCTTTTCTTGAGGAAAAGAGATGTGCACAAATTCCATTAATTAATTAATTAATTAGGGAGTTCCTTGGCTTTTTTGCCCAGGCCTGGAGGAAGGGTGTTTTTGGGTCCCTTGTTAATATTATTATTGTCCATTCATCCAAGCACTTACGTTTTTAACTATGTTTTAAAGTTTTTGTGCTTTAAATATTGAAAGCCGCTCAAGGTCTTTTCAGAGTTGGTTAGCTCTGAAAATCTACTCAATCTATCAAAATAAAGGATAAAATAATCCAACTTGCTTACATTGAAAATTATTGGATCTGAAATCAAATAGCCATGGTAGCACAGTGGTTAGAATGCAGTATTGCAGGCTAATTCTGCTGACTCCTGATGGCCAGCAGTTTGGCAATTCAGTTCACACTGGCTAAAGGTTGACTCAGCCTTCCATCCTTCTGAGGTGGGTAAAATCAGGACCCAGATTGTTGGGGCAATATGCTGACTCTAAACTGCTTAGAGAGGGGCTGTAAAGCACTGTGAAGTGGTATCTAAGTGCTATTGCTATATATCTTCCACTCTTGGGAAAGTAACTATTTAGAGCAGGGCTCTTTTGGTGGACACACTAGAATTTGTAAAACATGTGGGTGTTCTTGCAAAATAGTTTATAATCAGATAAAGTACCACTTTACATGATGTACATGCCATCTTGTTGATATCTTCCTCTGCATGTCATCTAAATGAGCCTGCTTATCTTTATTATGGGCAAATGAATGTGCTTCCAAACAAACAAAATACATTCAGTGCTCAGCTAGAACCATTTGTTTTTATCAGTCTCAGAAGTAAAAAAAAATGGTTGGAAACATGCAAGCTTTTTTTTAAATTAAAATACTTTTTTTTAAAAAAAAATCTCATATGATATGAGTGAGGAACAATCCTCAGGATCACTGGAATCTCCAGACATTATTTTGGAATCCTCAAGTTTAAAGAAATGTTTACTGTGACAAAAGTACAGTTTAATTTTGGATAAAAATATTACTGAATCAAAATACAAATAAATGAAAAAAGAACAGTTGGTTACTGGCTAATGAAACAACAGATTCTTGGAATACATTATAAATAAACCTAAACTCTTTTAGCTCCAAATATAATATGTAAATATTATGTCGCTTATCAGTGGAACTCAGAGCCATAAATATCATACAATAAGGAATGTTCATTTCGTAAATTATTTGAAAAACTTATGAAAAGTTATATGCCACATATTGGGAACACGAATTTACAGAAATAGCTCTACCTCGGGATTGATAAAAGATGATTGATGTGAGAATACTTCATGATTGTTTAATTCAAGCTTATCTGCTCATAAATATATCTTAAGCATGCAGTATAAATGATTAAGTAAATATTAGACTAGGAAGAATGTGTTGAAGTCATTTCAGATAAGTGAAATGGAAAAGTCTGTCACATTCTTCTCTCTTCCATGTGGTATTTAAGTAGATCTGCTAAAGCAACAGCGTACAAATCTTGATAGAGAAACATGCTAGGTATTTTATTGTTTGAATGTAATCGTAACTTTGTAATTTTTTTTATATGATTAGCTTTTATTTTAACCCATAACAGAATGGTGTTTTAATAAAACTTTCAATTTGGAGAGTGATTTTAAAAACAAATACTTTGTGCTTAAGACCCCAGAAAGAGACTTAGGTTCCCAGAGTGAATGGTATAATGTAATTGGTGCTGTACTTCAAAAACTCTTCAATATGTTGAAGAACTGTTAAGCCACGGGTGTCCAACTTTTTGCTTTCCTGGGCCACATTGAGTGAAGATGAATTGTCTTGGGCCACATATAAAATACAGGTCCTCAACTTACAGTAGTTCATTTAGTGACTATTCAAAGTTACAATGGCACTGAAAAAAGTGAATTATGACCATTTTTCACAGTTACGATCTTTGTAGCACCCCAGGATCATGTGATCAAAATTCATATGTTTGGCCAACTGGTTCATACTTATGACTGTTGTAGGGTCCCAGGGTCACGTGATCTCCTTTTGCAGTCTTCTGACAAGAGAAGTCAATGGGGGAGCCAGGTTCACTTAACAACCATGTTGCTAACTTATCAGCTGCAGATCAGATTCTCTTAACAACTGTGGCAAGAAATGTCATAAAATGGGGCAAAACTCACTTAACAAATATCTCACTTAACACTAAAATTTTTGCAAGTTGAGGATTATCTGTATATAATACAGTTAAGATATATAAATGCTATAATGATGTTAAAAGTTTAGAATCTTGTGTAAAGAGTACGCATTACTAGCTGTCCAGGGCCAAATGTGGCCCATGGGCCACGGGTTGGATAGTTCTGTGTTAAGCTAAAAGTTTATATAAAACAGAAGTACAAAAAAGGGAATTTTTTAAAAATACAGTTATTTACATTTTCAAGAGAATAAAATTTTTAACTTGACTCTGATAACAAACAATATTTATGATTGCTATGAAACTTATTTTCTCCCCAGTTTTGGTGGACAATGGGTCTTTATTCCTCACTTCCTTTCCCATGCACTATTTGTAAGAAACAGCAAAAATATATGACAGCACCTTCTTTAATAGCCAACATATCACTGTGGAATGCAGAGAGTATTAGTTAAAGGGCAAAATGAAGCCAAAATCGCCCTAAATCACTTCTTCCTCATTCTGTTCAATTTAGATGGATTTTTCTGTGATTTTTCTTTATTAACAAATAAGAAGTGGTAGAGAATGGCAGACATGAAAGCGCTGCCTGAAATACAAATTTACAGGAATTGTAAGGAAAACATTTTGCATTTCTATGCTGTGCACTAAGGAAGAGATGCTTAGAGTAATTCACAGGTAAAATTGGAAGAAATGAGAAATTCTCAATCTTTCTCAAACAAGTGTCCTTTTTACTCCTGCCCCTTCCCTTTTTGCCCTGAAGATCTCTTTAGAGAAGTGGCCGGACCAACCGAAATGTGTGACCAGAGGCAGCTTGGCTTGTTATTGCACGATGCTATCCAAATCCCACGACAGCTTGGGGAAGTAGCCGCTTTTGGAGGCAGTAATATTGAGCCCAGTGTCCGCAGCTGTTTCCAGCAGGTAATTGTGTTTGTTTCTATTTCTGAATGCTCTAAAAATGGTATGTTCAGATGTTAGTTGGGTTCAGTGGGAGTGTTCTGGCCAAGACTTCCTGAGACCATAATTAAGCACACTCTTAGTGAAAATAACTCTTGTTTTATTTCAGCACTGGGAATTAATGCTCATTTCCAGCCTGTAATGAGTCCCAAACAGTCCCTCGAGATAAGCACCCATCTTTATCTCCTTTGAATTGCTGCCAACAACTAAAGTGCCAAATTAACTGGAAAAAAAAAACCAACCGAAGTACAAAGTGCACACAGAGCTTCAAGGTTTAATCCAAACACAGCGAATGACTTTGCTTCCTGGAAAGGAGCCTTGCACCTCCTTTATACCTTAGGGGACGGGCAATCACCTCCAAGCCTTATTCCCAAGTTGCCCCTTTTGTCTCAGCTGCTCTTGCCTTCTAGCAGCTCTGCACATATGCACACTGGGAACAGGCTCCCCTTGTTCCTCTTCCTCGCTGCTGCCAGGCTCCAGAGGGTCTGGAGTCAGCACACAACTCCCAGATGATCCTGGCCCCCTCTCTGCATTGGATGCAGGACCCTCGTCCGAGTCCTCCCCAGACTCCCGGACTGGTCCCCATTCTTCCCAACTGTCTGATTCCACTGTCGTCTGCACAGGTTGCCGACAAACCACAACAGGGAGTCTCTTACAGACCTTCTGAAGATTTGAAACTCACTTCTAGAGGGACATAACAGAATAGCAAATTAACAGAGTTGGAAGGGACCTTGGAAGTCTTCTAGTCTAACCCCCTGCTCTGGCAGGAAACCCTAGACATTGGAGGCAAGGTTTATACACCCATTACTGCCATCCTTTCCTTTAATCATTTGAAGTGCCTGGAATGGGCTTTTAGTCTCATAAGTTTGTAGCACTGATTGGAAAGGCTTATACAGAGAGTTCTCGACTTACGAACACAGTTGGGGCCAGAATTTCCATAGCTAAGTAAGGAAGTTAAGTGATTCACACCTGATTTTATGACCTTTTTTTGCCATGGTTAAGTGAATCCCACAGTTAAGCAAATCTGGGTTTATTGCCTTTGCATGTCAAAAACTGGCTTGGAAGGTTGCCAGTGGTGATCAAAGGACTCCAAGGATGCTGCAATCATAAGTACATGCCGGTTGCAAGTGCCCAAATTTTGATCATCTGACCATGGGGATAGTGCAGTGGTCATAAGTGCGAAGATTGGTCATAGGTCACTTTTTTCAGTACCGTTATAACTTCAGACAGTCACTAAAAGGAATGATTGTAAATCAACTACCTGTACAAGGGGCGCTCCTATTACAGCGGAAGTAATTGTCTTTTCTTTTTTGACTGAATGTTGGTGGGGTGAGTATTGTTCCCTTGAAGATTAAACTTGGAATACAATTTTTTTAAAGAAAATAGACTGAACAGGAAGCTTTAATATGAATTAAATTATTTTTAATCTCATTCTCATTTATCAGCATAATAATAAGCCAGAAATTGATGTAAAGCAGTTCATAGACTGGATGCGCCTGGAGCCACAATCTATGGTATGGTTGCCAGTTCTACACAGAGTAGCAGCTTCAGAAACAGCAAAACATCAGGCCAAGTGCAACATCTGTAAAGAATGTCCAATTGTTGGCTTTAGGTAAGCGAAATCAAAAGCCTTTTATGAATTGCATCAGTAATGTAACTGACTTATATTCCAGCTTCATTGTACATGCTATGCTAGTAACTCATTACCTGGTATATTTTAAGTTAGAGACTCATAAAAAGTGAAGGGGAAGGGGCCCTTAAGAGGTCTTCTAATCAGTACAGTCTGCACTACAACTTTTCTGTAGTGATGACCGTCTAGCCTCTGTCTGAAGATATGTAGCAAAGAAGAAGTTGGCCACCAAGTTGGGCACTTCTTTTAACCATTTGTCTTGTGGTTTGGGTTTTAGACCTTTTGTTATCTTGATAACTCACCGTCTTTTGGTTTGGGAAAAATAAACGTGAATCAATGTGTATGCTTAATTCAGTAAGTGGAAAATCCATTGGGCGGTATTGTTTCAGAAATTCATACTCATCAATTGAATGGATTGTCACCTGCTTCTGGATTAAAACAATTTACCAGGTTTTTGAAACTAAACTATAAAGTATTTTACTATAGAAAACTTTACAGTACAGTAAATTATTAAATGTAGAAAACGTTTGAGAAGATTATGTAGATTAACGTCTATAGATAATATGGATTAGAATGTAAATAGGGTCGAAGCCAGTCTCATGAAGCTGCTTTACAAGCAGCACTGTACCCTTATGTGGGCTTATTATCACAATGATGCAGTATTTGCATTATGCTGGGGAAATTGCAACTCAGTAACACAGACCTTGTGATAGTTTTGTTCTTATGTATAAGATTTTTGTGCTCAAATATTTATGGTGTTAGTTCAGTAACTGAATCTGAATTCATTACAAGTGTTATTACCAATGTTCCCAAATTGTATGGAAATTCCTAACAAAAATGTTTTAACAGTAGCAGGTTTGCAGAGCTGCCTGTTCGAAGGAAGGTTTCTTCTCCATGAAAGAAAGCAAAGGGAGGCAGCAGATAGTAGCAGTTCAGAATGGTCTCCCCGTATGAATGGTCACACATGCTGTGCCCTCTTCCATAGGTATAGGTTTAATTATATCAGATGGAGAGCTCTCTAAGTGGCTATCGTATTATTTATTAGTCTAGCATTTCCTTCCTTCCTTCCTTCCTTCCTTCCTTCCTTCCTTCCTTCCTTC